AGATTCTTAACCTGGTATAGCAAGTATAGTTTTTAGTGTCAGTGATTCCATGGTTGTAGTAAATGGTGCAGTCCTGTTTCTGTCTGTTTCTTTAGAGTAATTTGTGTGCCCAGCAGTGCAGACGCGATGCTGAAAAGAAATAGGACACTTATTTGAGGGAACAGAATCTCTGCCGCTTATTTCGTTCGTCTTCCAGTTTGGTGCTGTTTGAGAATTTTTTGTCACTGCGTTGAAGGGAGCCCTCGATGTAACAAATCAGTGTAATATATGTAATAATACTTGCAGATATAGTAAATGATAAAACCGGTAAGGATAAGTGATCTCCTTTCTTAGAAACCTAATTTTAAGAAAAAACGTTACAAAAGTCTGAGGATGTGTTTCCTTAGTCTTATTTTAACCTAAGACTGGTCATGCATCTCTGCCTTTCCCAAGACCTTGAAGGGGATTGAGTCTTGGTAAACAAAAGATATCTGTCCTGTTACACAGTTCAGCCTGTAGGCAGCAGTTTTCTGTTGCGCTTAATGGTAGCGATCTTAGCCAATTGTCGGCTCCTCAAGGCTGTTGAGATTAGCAAACTAAACAAGGTAGTAAGAATCTTCTGCATCTCTGTGTTCTAATCTTTTTTTTTCATCTTGTTTTAACGATAGAGGTACATTTCACTAACAAGTTTCATTTACAGTGCTTGTATAAATGCAGTGAAACTGCCCCCCCCCCTTTTTTTCCTCTTTTAAGTCAGTTGCAATGGTCAGCTTTGTTTGGACAGTAACGTAATGGGAATCTTAGCATAATGGAAGGTAACTAGGTGGTGGGCTGGTGTTGGAACCTAAAATGTTTAAGAGTCTGGAAAGAGATCAAAAATTTGATTGATGCTATAAGTTAAAGGAAGCTCTGTAGCTTCAAAAAAAGTCAAGATGTTAACTTGTAACTTGTGAATTGAGTTGTGTTCCTGACTTAATTCAGGACTGTGACGGTATTATATTAGGAAGCCACAAGTGCTTATGGAGATCAGAGAGGCTATATGGGCAAAAGATTCTACAGAAAAGTGACCCTGTATTGGCTGGGTGAATATCATGTTGTGGTTTAAATTTTTTAGGCACCAGATGACTCCTGCAGCTAGAAGAGAATTAGTTCTGAGCAGCATATGGCATCTAGTTCTAGGTACAAACATCAGAACTACTTTTTAATGACTATACTCCAGTAATATTGCTTGAGCAAAGAGGACTTGATGAATATCAACTACATTCATTAATTCTAAAAAAAAGCATCTTATATTTGAGAGACTTCTTCTAAAGGAACAGCCAAATGGAAGCAACGCTTGAAAAGATTGTATTAAAATGGTCAAGTGTTGTCATGCGCTGACTCTAAAGTACTGTTGATAGTAGAAGGACTTAGACGTGGAAGATGGTGTTCTCTGAAAAGCAGAAGCTGTTGAATTGAGGAAAAGAGAAAGGAGCATTAAGCAAATGAAATATAAATCTGTAAGTCAAGTCAAAGGGTCTGAGAACTAGTTTATTGAAGGCATTTAAAACGGAAAACATTACAGTTCAAAAGCAAGAAGCTTCTAGAGACGCTAAGACTTATGAGATTAGAAATGTAAAACGATACCTAGGAGAGGTCAGACCAACTAATTGCATTGGTGGGAACTTGAACTTCTCTGGCAAAGATCAGAGTTTTCTTTGACTCTTGGGAGCTGTTATTTTAAATATCAGTAAGAAGTGTTTAAATCTACTGGTGGAATGTTAACTGTTGTATAGCTATGTCTGATCGTATAGCCAAACAGTTCTAGAGGAATTTAACCGTGAAATCGCAGTGTATAGTTTGAACTTTAAATGAATTTTGACTTTTTAGCTCTTGTGCTGTTGTCTCATGCAAATCCAAGCATATGTGAAGTGCTGCCTTCCCAGGGCAAGAAAACGAAGAGCTCATTCTTGAGAAGTAATTTGGGGAAGGAAATATAGGTTGGTGCTGGGTAATATTCTTTGAGTCTTTCATGGTGTCATTAAAAACTGCCATAGCATAAATCTGCTGAACAGAGGTTCAGGTATGTGCGCACTGAAGCGTGCGTGTGTGTGCTGGCAATTTTTTTTGACCTTGCTGCTTTGCTAGGGGCTGCTCTTGAAAGAGTACACTGTGTATGGGGCGGAGGCTGCAGTGTATAGGGGAACTGAGACCACTTTTATTCTCTTCTTTCCCAGTATGGGATGCATACCATAAACACAGTTCTCGGGAATGTGTGGATCTCCTGTACTGGTCAGATCTAGTTCCTACTATAACAAAATGAAGTTGCATGAGTAAATGTAATAGAAGGAACCATTGCAACCTTTTATAAAAGGTAGTTGATCTCAGTTCCTTGCAGGGTTTGTTAATCATCCATATTCATGTGGTCAGTTTGATACAGAACTGAATTTCTTGGTAGAATGTTTCTATGGTTTTGTTGAAAATTTAAAGACTGAACTGTCACATGTTTGCTGGTACTATGGGATTAACTGCCAAATGAAAGAATAAATTATTTACTACTAGAATAAAGGAGGCTACCAGTGGAATTACTCAGGTGTTTCTGTTGCTCGGTATATTCATAAATACCTGGAGGGAAGAAATGAGCGAAGAAAGGATAAAACACTAAGATGGTTTAAAAAAAAAAATTAGAGCTGACTGCAGAAATTTGCAGTGGGAGTTCATTATTCATAAGTGATAAAATTGCAGATAAAATTAAGTGCTAGTAAATATGACAAGCTGAATCGGGAGTGGGGGGGGAAACACCACCTACAGATTGTATAGACCCAGTGGATGGGCTTTACGTGGGTTATTGTTAAGAAAAGACCTTGAAGCTCCTCCGTACAGGTTTCTTTTAAAGAGCAGTTTCATGCTCAGAGTTCCTCAAATAGCAATCAGTAGGTATCTTGGCAAAGGAATGGATAATAAAATGAGAACAGGTGTGTGTCATGGGCTTATTGGTACAATTACGTGTTGACTGTGTGCTTTTCTGGTCACCATGTCTTAAAACAACTGAAAACAAGCTGAAAAAGTCAGCAGCGATAAAACTTTGGACCTGCTTTTGTCTGAGGAGAGAAAAGCAGATTGTTTACTTGGAAAGGAGCTAGTGGATATGGAGCAGTGGATATGAATTAAGGGTCTGAAAATTGCTAATGTTTCAGATGAACTGTCAATTTTTCAATTACCTTTTCCAAAAAAAAGCATCGAATAAAGCCATTAATAGGCAGCAGCTTAAAATAAAGCACTTTAATGTGTACTAAAATTGTAACAATGTTGTGAATGACAAAAGCATAAGTGGCCTTAACGACCTGAAAAAATCAGTGGAAGTCCTTTTGAGCTACTGAAAACCCTGGCTGAAATTCACCTCAAAAGTATGTCGGAATTACTGGAGCCTTAGACAGATGTGCTATAAGGGAGCTGGGCAGCTGCTTTTTCTGTTCTTGATTTCACCCCCAACTGACAGCTGCTGCTGCCTCTTATAAACAGGAGAGTTTGAGGAAGGCTTGATTTGGGCCCTACCCAGCTGTTATGTGTGTTGAGATATTTTTCTTCATTGCATTTGGGTGATCTTGGAGGAAGGAGAGGTTAGCCTTTCTAGAAACGAACAAAAAATAGGAGCATGCTGATTTATACCTTCAGTCTTGCTTTGAAATTTTGAAATCTTCTAGTACAATTGTCAAAAAATTAAGAGATTCGGTCAGTAAGCCTGCTGGGTAATTGTGTTCAATGTGAATCCAGACCCAGCTCAAGATAAGAGGAAGGGCAAACAGTAATTTTAAAGCGGTATGCTCTTCAGAAGTTGTGTATCCATGCTTTGCCTAAAGTCTGTGCAGAAATGAACCCTGATCAAAATTACTTGGGCAGTACCTTTTGAATATGAAGGGTGTCTAACAGTGCAGACATACTCTAGTAAAATTGCGTTGCAAAACAGTCTAAGGGAAAATGCAACTCTAAACTGGTTTTGTATTACTGTTATGGATGTATACAAACATTTTCATTTAGGAAGGCTGAATATGTTCAATAAGGATTGGACTTGTGTGGAGTTTCTTTGATAGTATTCAGATCTTACTACAATCTTGAAATATGTCAGCATCAAGAATGGTTTTGGTCAATATATCGCAGTAGTAATCATCCCTGTCCTGTTGTAGAAATTACTTTGTTTTTTCTTGGTGTGGCTTGCTGCTTTTCCTTGTGATCGTAAGCGTTTCGTTTGTCTGCCCCCCGAATTGGACGGTGAGCGTTCTATGTTATTGTATCAAAGGTGGGAAAGAGAAGGAAGGACTTAGACAGTATATAAAGATCCCATGTGAGAACTTTTCGTGTAGTATTGGTAGTAATATATTTTACACTTTCAATTGAGAAGTCCAGTTGAAGGGTAACTTCCTGTATGAATCATTAGCATATAAAGGGTTTGAGTTGTCAAAGGAATCCAAGGTTGTCAAACTGTTAAGCAGGCAACTAGATGTGGTTCATGACGATGTTTTCATGTCAACAAATGCTCGAGCCTCTGTTCTGTAGTCCTCTGCAAAAACTCATGAATGACAACAGCCTGTTTCCAAGTCTTCGGGAACTTCTTGCAAGAGTGCTTATTTCTGTGCATGTAGAATAAACCTACTTTACCTTCTTCGTTGTGTTAGTGCTGTTTCATGTTTGGATCGTTGCAGAGTTTTCAAGACTCTATGCTTTATTTTTTGAGAAAATGGTCTTGAGGGATTAGAAGCTGAATTTAACCTTCCTCACTGGTTCAACAGTGAAGGAATCTGTAAATGTCACCAGTGTTTGCAGCCAGTGTCAGCTGACGTTTTTTGCAGTTAGACAAGGAGATGGAAACTGATTAGGTACTGTGTGTCTAGATTGCTAGTTTACACTGAAGTTCTGACACAGAAATAACATTTGAAAAAAATCTTAAGCCCTGATGACATTAAATAAAGCCTATAACCTGTTTTTGGTGGAATTCAGCGAAACAGCAAAATCGCCATTATAACTGATGCTACATTCTTCTTTAGGCTACATGAAGAAATAATTGACTTCTATGACTTCATGTCGCCTCGTCCTGAAGAAGCAGCTATGAGAAGGGAAGTGGTGAAAAGAATAGAAATGGTCATCAAAGATCTCTGGCCTACGGCTGATGTGAGTGTAACTCAAGCAAATGTTAATTTACTTTTCTGATAAATTTTAGAAATTGATTCACTTCCCTATTCTTGTTTTTTGGAAATAAACAGGTAACACTTCCACTTAAGATAGTGGAGTTAACGTCAGAGCTATTGCAGCATTGACACTTTATTTTTAAATAAAGTGAAGGAAGTTAAAAACCTAGATTTCTAGTTAATGAAGGGTACTGACAGTTTTACTTTCTTTTGGAGAACTGAGGACGTAGTTCTTTATGTGCGTGTTAGGAAGTAGCTCTCTTAACCAATTTAATAGGCTTTTACTTTATCTCTGCATAACTTCATTTTAAATAGTCAAATGTGACTGACTAGCTATATTTCCATTTTCACATGGGGTCCTGATTGCATGTATGTTTGTAAATACAATTTTTTATTAAAAAAATACCGAACACCTAAAAAAAAAATTTTTTTATACCCACCCTCCATTTGACATTCAGAGAATTTAGCCCAGCTTTGAGTGGGGAAATTGGACTTGACCTCCAGAGTTCTCTTCAAGCCACTTGTATTCAAACTCATCCTTACCCAAAGAGCAAGTTTTCTTCAGACAACAAAACCTCTCTGAAAGGAACTTAATGTAAACTGTATCTTTATCAATACCCTTGTGGTTACCAGGCACCAGGGCTGCCATTAACTTGTATAAAAACACTTCACACCATCTTGATTTCATAGCCTTCCATAGGCAAGAGTGAGGGCAGTGATCACAGTGCGAACCCAGAGAAAACGTAAAACTCATCTACTTCATCCTCACTTGCAATTTTCTAGCTCAAGGGAACAGGTATAGCCACTGAAATGACCCAGGGTAGCCCTTTTCATTGGTCACTTCAAAGAAGCGAACTTGTAAATTGTGCTGTAACTGAGACTGAGAAACATCTCCATCCTCTGGATTGGAAGCACAGTGAATCTGATCTGATCTGGACTGTGCAAGTCTCTTAAGCTTAAGTTTTTCCACACACAAACACCTACCACAATTTCAGTGAAGTGTGGAATATACATATTGTATCATCACTTTCCTAGGTATTGCACTCAACCCCAGAAACAAGAACCTACAAACCATTCGTGTGTTATCTGTCTAACCTAAAACTTAAGAAATAAGCAAGCTACTTCCATAAAATCAGTAGCCAGCCTTTTTAAAAAAAACAAGAACAAAAAAACCCCCCACCCCTCTACCCCAAAAACTGTGCGATTTAGGCAAGTGCTTTGGTATCAGTTTTTACTGAGGAGAATGTTTGCAATGTCATCCTCAGTGTAATATTCTTGATTTAGACTCCTCTTTAGATTACTTTAGAAAGCATACTGAGCCACTCATCCTATAATCTATATAAAAAAACCCTCCTTTTACTCACTACTCATATACCTTGTGTCATGTACCATTCTACCTGGAATCTCTAAAGGAAATAAACTATGAGCTTTGTGAAAAGAAAATCCTATTTTAAAAACTGTTCTAAAAATTGCTATCCTAGCCTTCAAATAGCTTCCCCCACCACCTCATTAGAATGATATTTGGAAGCTTTGGAAGCTGCTGCTTCTGAATCAGACTTTGGGCTTGTTGGCCCAAAAGCCCATTTAATTTTTCTGATTATACCACTTTAACAGATAAAGCATTTAGTTGGACTTATGAGCCTAGATCTGCCTTACAGAAAGCAAGTCGTTGAGAACTACAGAGATTCTTTAATGAACTATTCATGAAAATCACTCACCTCTGTGTTCAAACAGCAGGGTCTTACCTCTCGTGAAGTACATGATGCATAAATGTGAATGAAAAATACAAAAGGATGATAAGCAATACGTTTGATTAGAGACAACAAATTCTACTCTATAAAAATGGCAGAGATCTTGCAGACTTTTCAGAATGTGTGCTTAAAATGTAGCGTACACTAGGGTTAACTATTGTCTACTGCAAACTTCTCCAGTACTTAAAGTTTTAGTTCAGCGAAACTTTTAGACGTGTAGGTAAACCAGGATTGAATTTTAATGTTTAATACTAATGACTCTTGAGTAGTCATTTTTCATAGGGTATGGGATTTCTTTGATTGTCTCTCTAAACATGTCCTCATATGAAACAAATTTTGAGCTTCTGAATTGAATCTAGTGCTTGTCATGTATATTTGATGTATCACTTTCAATTGGGTTAGTCTTGCATCAACTGACGTATTTTCTGGTTTTGCTCATGAACTGTTATCATTGACTGACTCTTCCCGCTATTGGCTTTATACTGTAATTCTTTAAGCCTCATGCTGTAATTGCCCAAACACTGGCAGACAGGGGTTGGATTAACTTTTGTGTACATCCTTGGTAAACTTACCATGATTTTGCAATAAAAGAATAACGTTAGTTACAAGTAGAAAAAGAACTTTAGGATTAAGAATATTTTGAAGTGTAAGACAATAGGGTGTAGGTAAAGGGAATATCAAGGCATCTACTCAGAATCAGTTTTCCTATTTCAACAGCAGACTTCATGAAAAAATAATATTTGATTGCAAAGTACTGTTAAATTACTGCTGCTTCTAATTGACTTAACACTTTAAAAAAAAAAAAAGAATTGTTTTAAGCTCAAGTTTAAACTCAAATCTAGTGATGATTTTGTTAGAAAAATGAGTGGTCTAGATCATTAAATTGCTCTTTTTCCCTGGTACTAATTCTCCACAGGAACCACAACCCTTTGCACGTTACGCTTTCTGTCTTTGCCTCATGACTGTTTTCTAGAACTGGAGCTGTTGCTCAGAGTTAAGTGTGCAGATTGACAGGGGCAGCAGTCCTGCGTTGACTGTGCTTTTGTCTAGGAAATTGCATGGAATACACGCATGGTGGTGTAGGCCAAAAGTTTTAGAGGCCTGATATTTAATTTGATTCTTCCTGAATTTTGAATCTTTAAACAGTCCTTGTCATACTGTGATTACTAACCTTAATAGGAACTGCTTCATTTGGGCACTTAAAAGAATGTGCTATAATTATTTGGCTACAATTACTCACCTGAATTAAAAAATACGTGTTTGTTAAACCTAACAATTCTGAAAACTATTTCCCTTAAACTCTTCCAACTTAAATAAAGCTGTCCTATAAGGAAAGGAGGAGGCAACTGATACAGCTTCTACTGCTGTAGAACTGGAAACAAATAGTGAAAAAGACTTGTTCAAAAAGTTTATGCTTTGTTGCTTGCAGTCGCTTCCTGTTGGGAAAATACTATTTCCTGTGAAGTTGCATCTTTAAGAGAAAGTGCGTTTGTACAGGCTTAATAGTTTGGCAAAATAATTTCAGTAATATGCTTTTATTGGGCTGTGTTTTTAACAGATCCGGAAAAGTTGTAACAAATCTTGTGAAAGTGAAATGAAGTGAGCGTTCATAATTGCAAGGTATTTTAGTGGTGCTTTCTTTCTTTCTGTCTTTTTTCCTTTTCTCCAGGTCCAGATATTTGGCAGCTTTAGTACAGGGCTTTATCTCCCAACTAGGTAAGTAATAATTCACTTCCGTATATATCAGTCTGCCTTCTTTTACAGTGATGGTAAAACTCAGAGGGGAATTTAGACCAGAATACATAAACGTATCAAAGCTTCCAGTAAATTTTTGCCTAATGTCGCACATGTCCAAGGAAAGAGCTGTTGAACTTGAATTGTGGATAAGTATTTGATGTACTAGCATTTGGTGCTTTTTGACCCTTTGGTGAAATAGCTTTTCTTCTCTGTTCTGGGGTGACAGTCTTTGGCTCTTTCTCTGCTTTCAAAATGCAGTAAAATTCACATTTAATATTTCCTGTGTAAGGATTATGTATTTTGTTAAATAATATGAAGTCCTGAAAGTCTATCTTGCCACTTACCACAGAGTAACTGCAAAGTCAAAGGGGTCATAATACCTATTTTTTCCCCTTTTTTTTTTTTTTGGAGATTAAAATGTCTCATTTAATTCAGTGTTTTATCACTTAATGGTTCAATAGATAATCTGACAGTTTTAAAATTACTGGGAAACTTGTGCGGCTGTGTTTTAAAGATTATGTTGTCTTGACATGAATTAAACTTCATATAAAAAAAGAAAACCTGGGAATTTCACTTCTGTGGTTAACGATTCTTAATCAACTTGTTTGGGCTGCCTACATAGAAGAACGTGGGACAGGATGGGGCTGTGGATATCAGAGGGGAAGGAGCAAGGAAGATGGAGGGGAGGAGCCCAAAGAGGTCATCTGGGAACTGGAAGGAAGAAGCTAGAATACTTATTTTGGGTCTTAAAGCCCACAAGACCATCTCTTCTTAATTGCTAAAGCAAGCTGATTAGAAACCTAGATTGTTAAAAGCTTCAAAGTGATCATCCCTGGGGACTTGCAACACGTGGAAGACTAGTTTTACCATTTTCTATATGGGAGTATTGTGTCCTAGACTTAGTGCACCTCATGTTGTGTTCTTTTTTCTAGCGATATTGACTTAGTTGTTTTTGGAAAATGGGAACGCCCCCCTTTACAACTGCTGGAGCAAGCACTAAGAAAACACAGTGTGGCTGAGCCGTATTCCATTAAAGTACTGGATAAAGCTACGGTAAGTAATAGTCTTTGGAATATTGAACAGAAAAGCTTTCGGACTCCTTTATATGAAAATGATAAATAATATTAAAACTGGTCATGCGTGAAGCAATTAGTGTTGTCTTAAGCATGTTGTCTTAAGCGCAATGTTTTGTTTTGGCTGGACGAGATCTTAGCAGAACGTGTGTGCACTTAGTGATAGCGTACAGATCTTTTGGTGTGGAGGACAATGCCCCTGTGTGGGTGTACTGTATTCACTCTTTGCTGGAAGGTCTCTTGAAAGTCAGTATTAGAAAAATACATTATACAAAGTTAACCTATTTTATTATATAACAGCTCTTTCACTGAATTTTAAGAGGACTTATGTTTTGTCAGAGGCCAGTAACTAGGGTTGTCTAGCTTGAAACCATTATTCATATCTCCTTGTTTCTGATGGCATGGTGAAGCGTTCCAAGCTTAACGTTTGGCTTTCTCTTCCAAAATATGCTGTCAGTGATCTTTATTTATGAAACTGATGTATAGCATTTTTTGCATCATTCTTGTAAGCCTAATGGATCAAGTATTGAATATGCTAGAAACTTGAAGTATGGAAGTTTTAGTTTACTGAACAAGTACTACTTTCTCCAGGAGATCAGCAGTATTTTCCAAACTTTTATTCATCACTTGCTATCTTCTGTGGTCTCTGAAATAAGACTACCATGTTAGCTCTAGTAGATTCTTACTGCTTCTGTTGGAGGAGCGCTACATAATAGCTCTGGTAGCCTCTGGTTTACCTGAAAGCGAGTGGAATTTTCAGAATTAGTGATGCCAGTTAGTGAAGGAGAATAGCACCAGATGTGTCAATCTTACTAGCCTTTCTTATCTTCTTTTCTTCTGCTGTTGGTGTAAAATAAGGCTGTACTTCATTCTGCTCGTCTCTTTAGCTTTCCATTTCAGATCAAGAATAAATTCAAGAGATTCAATGTAAAATAAATTTATCAGCTGAAGTTTAGGGTACAATCGAGTGATAACATGTTTGTAATACTGTTTTGCAGGATAGTTCCTTGAAGGCAGTGGTTTGAGGTTGTGCATGTTCAGTATTTTTGTAATGACTTACTGCTGGAACAGGAAGTGCTGCTATTCCTGCTTTGCTTTTAACCAGTCTGGCTTTTGCTGTACTCTGCAGTGAGCCAGTTCAACTTGATAAATCATCGGCAGACAGCTTTTACTTTTTCTGCTAGGCTAATCTTCTGTTTAGCATGTTGAATGGTTAGATGAACAGTTTTCCACAGGTTATGGGAGTAGAATGTCTCCTTAAAATTTGCAGTAGTAAGTCATTTGCTTAAGTACATGAAACAACACTGATATTGCAGCTATGAGGGTAAGTATCTAGCAGCTATGAGAGAGTACATGAGTGTTCGTAAGTAATATGATCATACATGTGTATGTCCGTAATCACCTCACAAGAGTTGATTTGTCAGTCAAATCCTTTCTTAAAAACATCTTTTTTTTTGTTTTGACAGTGGCATTCATTTGGACTGATTGTATCTGTCTTAAGTGAGTAGCTGTAGAGAGGAGCATCAGTGTTCCAATTCTGAGGATTCATAAAACTTTGTCTTAATCTTTTCAGGTACCTATAATAAAACTTACTGACCAGGAGACAGAAGTGAAAGTTGACATCAGTTTTAATGTGGAAACTGGTGTGAAGGCAGCTCGATTTATCAAGGAATACATGAAGGTATCAGCCATATAATTACTGCCATGTTATTTAGGAATGATGCAATAGGTGATTAGCTAAGAGTCTTTGGTATAGCTTAAAGCTTTTTGAAAGCTCATTGCTGAAGACTGTTTTCATTAATACTAGTTAAACATGGATACTTTGATTTATTTTCTACGTGGATATTTTATTTAACTTCGTATATCTATTCAATGTTGCCTTAGTTGGTAGAACGACATGAAGATTTTTAAAAGGCCTTAATCTTGGTCTTTATAAATCAGAAACTAGAAATACTTAAATTGAATGTTTACATAAATTTTCTAATATTTGATTGGTAGGTTATTTGTAGATAAACCTGTATGTTGAAAGGACTTCTACAGTTGTATCTAGGTCTGTGGTGAGATAGTAAACTTTCTTTTTTTAAAAAAAGGCAATTCAAGTTTCCTCACTTGAATTCAAGTGACGTTGGATTATGAATACTCTATTGCTAAACAAAATGTCAAAAACCAATTTTTCTGTTGCTGAGTACTTAAAATCAAGTTTACTTTTACGCTCTGCGGTGAGCGTACTGTTCAGATGAAAAGCTTTAGTTACAATGAGTGACACTGGCATCCAGGGGAGGATATAAAAATCCTCCTGTTTGAGGGGAAAAATTGAATTTGACGTGTAGACTACTTGATCAAGTGAAGATTGAAGTTTGCTCTTCTCAGTTTCTAGAATAAAAATGCATGCTTTGTGTTTTCCTGAGGAAAACATTATATAACATACTACTGAATAGCACTTTTGCATTAGAATCCAAATCTTTGTGTCAAGATTGTTTAGCTCTTGTTTTGGGAAGCTGATGTTATCATTGATAAGACTTATTTTGCTTTGCAGAAATATTCTTTGCTGCCCTATTTGATTTTAGTGTTAAAACAGTTCCTCCTTCAGAGGGACTTGAATGAAGTTTTTACTGGTGGAATTAGCTCTTACAGCCTAATTTTAATGGCAATTAGTTTCCTGCAGGTAAGTTGATTCCTTATTTGTTTGTGAAGTCTTTTAAAAAATTTTGATTTCTGTAGTTTTGCCCTTCCTTTTGATTTTTTTTTTTTTTTCCTAGCAAGGCACAGCTAGCTTTATTGCTGTGGCTCTGGATGTGTGCTTGTTGGCAGCTGCTATAGACTACCTCTTAAACCTCTAAGAACTTCTGTTGACTGTGTAAATTCAAACAGCATCAGTAGGAGCCTCATGAAGAGCTTTGAGGTGGTGCACTGCTTTCTCTACCAGGCCCGATGGTGTAGATTATGCCTTCTTCCTAGGCAGCCTATTCCAATGTCTGAATGTTCCTACTGGTGTCTCCTAAGTGCCAGAATGCAGGCTCAGCCTGTAGTTTCCTAGCCTACTGAAGTTAGATGTGGAGATAATGATGTGGAGATTAGATGTGGAGTTTTAATGTCAAAGTTGCTTTCTGAGTGTTCATTAAACACCTCCATTGTTTTTTAATTATATGTGGATTGGTTAAGTTTTGACATATGGAAAACTGACAGATGTTTTGGATAACTGATGAACATGTTAATGAATTATAACTTCTTTCTATACATTTTTTGTAAGTGACATCAAGCTTTGTATCAGTATCACCAAGTAAAGTATTTGTGCCTCAGTGCCTGTGATATTGGAAAAACCCACATATCCCAGTGCTGTTAAAATGAGTAACTGGAATATAGCTGTTTATTATACATACCTAATATAATGTAGGGAGATTGAGAAAAAGACCATAGTTGATTGAGGTAAACAGATTCCCTGACTCCCCTCAAGCTTCTGAAAATACTAAGACCTATTGAATTTTTGTGAAAAATCAGCTATTATTCTTTCACTAACTAGGCCTTAATTTATTATGTAGTACTTCTCACTGCTTTTGGCTTAGGAAGAGGAATTTACTAACAGTCCAAAAGTTAGGAGAGAAGATAGGAAAAGAATTCTTTGGCTTCCATAGGCTACTGAAGTGCTGCCCCCTCTTGGTTAAATGGAAGTCGTTTCAGTATGTGAAGTATTAATGCCCTTAGTTCAAACTTGTGTAAAGAAACTGTACTCAGCTGTTTTAATGAGATTTTTGTTGCATAGTGTTGGTCTGGCAAGTGTTCACTTTTAATAATTAGCAACTGTTCTGTGTCACAGCTGCATCCAAGAATTGATGCCAGAAGAGCTGATGAAAACCTTGGGATGCTTCTCATAGAATTTTTTGAACTCTATGGAAGGAATTTTAATTACTTGAAAACTGGTATTAGAATAAAAAATGGAGGTGCCTATATTGCCAAAGAAGAAATCATGAAAGTCATGACCAATGGATACAGACCATCCATGTTATGTATTGAAGATCCTCTCCTGCCTGGTAAGACTATACATTTCTTGAAGTTTTCTGGAGCTCTGGCTCAACTTGTGCCCTCACAGCTTATGTTAGTCCCTAAAGTCTGTCATGTGAGTTGAGAAGCTGCACTAGGGAGAGAGTAGTTCTGGTGCTTTGGTGCAGTTATGGAGCTGGGTTAATGATTAAAAAACTGAAATTCCCCAAGATTCATAGCTTCAATAATTGTGATTACACGCAGACAGTGCAGATATATGGAGATGCAGAAATGTATGAGTGTATAGTAAGGTTCTCCAGTAGTGATGAGGGATAGGGAAGAAAGAGGTCCAGAAAATCCTGGAAGCGAATTACTAGAAGGAGCAGCACTCCATTCTTCATTATGAGAGAATGATAAAGGAATGTGTAGCTTTTCCTATCACAGTCTACAGAGCAGTGCCATTCTTCAGTTAAATTGTTCCATGTGGGAAAGAAAAGCCCCAAATAAAGTACCTTCCTACAGGGTAGCACACCAGAGACTGCACAGAGTCATGAATGCGTGGTCAGGAGCGTGAAGCAAGGGAGAGGCTGCAATATGTTGTTGATATGAAGAGTGTGACTTGTGCAAATGGCTTCTGCACTGCACAGGCACCTCTATAGAATGTCCATTTGGGTTGCATGTACTTTTGGAAGTAACGATCTCCGGTATTTTTTTTTCTTTGAAAGTTTCCAAATCAAAATGATAAAGTAATCAAGATTAATTCTGGTTGAACTCCTGAAAATGTTCCAGCTAGTGCTCAGTTTGGATTCTATTTAGACTGTAATAAGTAGTTGGAATTCCCAAACTGCTTTTTAGCAAAGTAAGCATTCAGTTAATTTGAACTTCAGCATTAATATTTCTAGAATGTAATTGGCACTCAAACTCCTTTATACTGTCACATCTTGTGGGTAGGCTGCTTATGTGTGGCACTTTTAAAGCAAATACCATGGATCAGGAGCTAAGTTTGGCTCCTTTCTAAATACTCAATGTGCTAAATGTGCATGCTTCTCTAGAACAGGTTGCAAGCTAAGATACCCATTTTTCTAACCACATCTCTGATATGTAGCTCTGAATTTCTTTGTGTCCATCACAACTCTTACATAAGTCTTGCAGTTGAGCAGGCGTGGATGTGATTATGCAGAACTCTTTCAAAGCGTTTTTGAGGTTTTATTCAGTAGCTATGTACTTATTTGCCTGAAGATGTGTTTCAGTAGTAGCATAAGCCACATTTCTCTAAAATGAAGAACTGTTACTGTGTCTTCCAGTTTTCTTCCTGTCTGTTAGCAGAGAACTAAAAGAGAAGAGTGTACTGTAGAATGTTTTGCTTATTACTAAGAGTCAAATTTTAGAAACTTTTCTTCCTTCCGTTGACTCTGAAATGAAATGGCAAGTCCAATAAGGGCTCTGAATTGTTCCTTTAGCATAAGTCTTGAAGTAAAGAACTCTGGAAGAAAGACCTCTATTTTTATACTCTCAAAGAGTTGTTAAGAACTAGGTTTCAGATGAGGTTCTTCAGATCGTGAGAGTGGAATTCTTATAGGAGAAAACATTTTAGCAAGGAAATGAAAGCTGACAATAACTTATTTTGTTATCTAGACAGCATATCCTAAAGGACATCATCTGGCAGCTGCCATTGAGCCCAGAACTCACCTGATGGAATTAGGAGGAAGATTGTTTAGAAGGCTCTTTGAATTGGATCTCAGGAATACAGCGTCCTTAGGTCTAGGCTTAATCACATAATCTCTATCAAGTGTATGTAGTTGATATCCAAAATTCTATTAATTTAGTCTTATTACTGTTTGTGTCTCCATACAATGAACTTTTTCAAGGATTCAAGTTCTTTGTCAGTTGACAAATCATAATCTCTGTTTTTGGTCAGATCAGCTCAGTGCCTAATTCCATCAGGGTCAGTACCACTACTGAGGAGGAGATGGGAACAAGATTTTGAGTAAAGGGACAGCTGTTGTTGTCCTTATTTATATTAGCCTAAGCTGCTGTAGATTTTTTTTTTTTTCCTTCAGAAACCTATTTCTCTGCCCTATATGCACCAGTTTTTAATCTTACTTTGGGGACCTTCTTAGCCTCTTCCCATCTTTCTCAAAACTTCTGGTTAATCTTTGGAAGAAGACTTTGAAAGATGACTTAGTCCTGAAAACGGACAAAACATAGGGATGAAAGGGGTGGGGGGAAAGGGAGCACTCTTCCGTTTCTCAAGATTATCCAAGTAGTGTGAAAATCCCTACTATGAGTATTTGCATAAGCTATGTGATAGGGTATGCTGAAAGGTATAGCTCATGGAGAGCTTTAAAAAGTCTTACGGAGGACAGGATTAAATTCAGTAGGATTGGTTCCTCTAAGTCTGAGGACTGATTTTTCGTCAGTGTGAAGTGGTGATATCTGACTAGCAGAAAAATGATATCAGAAAGAGATGGTTCTTCAGTTCTAACTGCTCAGTGTTGTTCTGTTAGTTCCTAATGCAGGATGGTAACAGGTATCAGCCTGTTCTGATGTTGTTTCTGGTCTTTTTAGGTTTTGCTTAGATCAGGTTCTCTTGAGTGCTGCAGGGTTTCCTCTGAGTTCCTCAAAGGCTATTTACTGGGCACTAGAGGATTGTAATTTCTGTGCTTTGAGAACAAAGATTCCGGGAAAGATGTCAGGAATTCCCACTTTGAAGTGGGACAGGTTATGTTGAAATCTGTATTTGAGATGTTAAGAAACACCACAGGGTAGAGTACTTTAGGTGATGGTTTTGATCTGATCTAGGTAGATACCCTAAGATTTTTCCTCTTGAGCTGGTAGTGTCCTAGGAGTAGGTAACAAGATGCAGATCTCTCCCTTACAATCGGGCAAAGAAGGAAATTTCTGTGAACATCTGACGTGGTGGCAGCTGCAAGTTTCTCAGGATGATAATTCTTTTGTTATGTGATATGTGAAATACATGGTGAAAGCATTCATTTAGGAGAATTGCTGAGTCAGTCACTCAGACTGTTAACGGTGAAGATACCTATCTGCACAGGGGAATGTGCTGAAGCAGTGTAGAGGTTCATCTTCCAAAATGTTCATGTGTGTGGAATTGATCTTTCAGTGTCCTGTCCTGGAAGGCATACGACTCTGGTTGCAAGTGACAAACCGTTAACTTGTGTTTGTAAGAAACTTTGCGTTTATTCAGCGGACTGTTAGGGAAGATTGTTCCTTTGCACTTTTTAGCTTTGAGCCTGGGGATTGTCAAGGTCCTTCAGTCACATTTTTGATACTCAGAACTGGAATGATTTTGGTCTTGGTTCAGATTAGCAGCAGGGAGTAGATAAGTCACAGCTTAAAAGACTTGCATCTTCATCTCCACTGCTGTTTTCATTAGAAAAGTGTTGTTCTTCATTCTGAATTGCTACAGGCGCTAACAAAAGTTCTGAACGTTACATTTCATGTGGCTTCTTTGAAAAGGCATTGTTTAACTTGAAAGGCCAATTATGCTTCATGTTGCTTGCTTTTGCATCTTGATCTGCTACAAGTAAATCTGAGCTGGACAGCAGCTATTGGGAGTTTATATTCTAGCCTTAGTGGCTGCCCAAGCGTGTACATCACAGCTTTTCAATGCCTGCTATTTGTGATTAGAACGTGCGAGTGTATGCATACGTGTATATAAAACATATATTCATAAAAATACAAAATACATTGAGACAAGCAGCTGAAAGAGCTCCTAAACGCGGTGTTGCAAAAAGGTATTTAGTGGGTAGCAGCTTAAAACACACAGATCTGCTTCAGTCCTTGCTCACAGTCTAGCTTTGTTTTCCAAGCCATGTTTTTAATTACATCAGGTTATGGAAGACTCATCAACTGAGTGATAATACTGATAGCCACTCTTGGAAGTCTAAGACATGCTCCTTCAGGAATGAAGGCTTATGCTGCAATAAAAAGAATGAGGATTGAATTATCTGTGAAGTTGAACATGATTGTTATCCAGTAATGCTGAGGGTTGAAGCCTTTACAAATTTTTTTTTTTTTTTTTTTTTTAAGAGCAAAAGCATTTGAATACATGCTTTAATTGATCTGTTTGTAGATTCTAACTGTGATGCATGAAAGACAGACTCAGGAATGTAAAATGGGATCTGCTAATGAGAATGATCTCGGAGAAGAAAAATCAACTTTTTTCAAAGTCAGGACAACATATGTGAATATGGGATTTGGCTGCTTTAACACGTTGCTTTGTGGACTGGGTATGATCATCTATACAGAATTGACTGGTACAGTTCGTAGTAGCTAGCATAGTAGCTTTGGCTCCATACCTGCTTTTTCAGCCGCAATACTAGTCAGATGCCGTGCAGAGTGTATAACTGAATAAGACTGTTTATTCGGACCTATTTATGAACTAATTACAGGTGCAGAACAAGGCAATCCAGGAACCAAGTATGCTTTGGCATGAGCTATCCTGCCTCTGTTCTCAGATCTGCTTCAATCAAGACTAATACACAAATTTGTTAATGGTTTAAACTAAGCTGCCTGAGTTTGCTGTAAGTGGATTAGGAAAGGCTCATGACTTCTTTCATTGGCAGAGCAGTGGAGGTGGCGACTGCTGTCAAGAGGAGTAACCAGCGCTTTGGAGCAGCAGTGTCTTTGGTGTAGCTCCTTCCTTGCAGGATGCGTGTCAAACCTGTGTCAGCAGTTGCCTTAGCACCAGATTAGACTAATGTGATTTGGTTGAGCGTATGTTCTTAATTCTTGTTTTATAAATCTAGTGGTAGGTACAATTGCATGTGTGTAACTGCTTGTATTTATTTCTTCTGTATTGCTTCTCAGCTTGTTATCCTTTGTATACGTACCTTTAGCAGTTAATATAAGTGGAACGTAGCATTGTCACAGGACAATTTCTAGACTAACAATGGTCTCTACTTATACTTCAGGATAGAGTCCAACTACAAATATCTCTGTTAGAGAGAGGGAGGGGCAGAATACACTTTTGTAATTTTGAGTCTAGTAGCCGCTGGCTAGTGCGGGAATACCTTAAAAACAAGATGCTTGTTTACTTCAGTAAGCATTAAGCGTTTCTTAGTTGGTTTTTATTTGACCATAAACATTACTAAAGAAATCCTGTGTTCCTAAAATGCTCTTATATTCCTAATGTCTGTTTCCACTGATTTATGCTTTCCTGTTAAAATGGCATTATGTTTGGAGAAACTTGAAAGACTAAAATGTGTTATCAAGTAGTGAAGCCAAGGTTGTGGGTGTTTTCCCTGGATGGTAGACCTCAAAACACTTATCTATAATGGTGTCCTGGACAAAAATAGTTCAGCAAGTGAAGGGTTCCCTTAAAGTAAACAGCAGCCTAATTGGTTTCAAACTAGTGACCTCTGTCCTTTACCTGTCAGTCTTCAAAGGTAAATTCATTAAAACCTGTTCATGGACCCTGATTTGTAAGTTCAAAATAAGTATGTTCTATGGTTTGTCCCTTTCCAATGGTCTTGTGGAATTTCAGGTATCATCCTGAAGGAATGGAACTTCTTACTGTAAGCAGCTTTCTACCCACTGAAGATCTAGTCTGTATTTCAGACATGCAATTTGAAGCAAGTTGTTTTTAATTGTTTCTTAATTTAAGGTGGTGACAGTGAACAGTTGGTGTCTGGTGCCAAATATATTTATAGAGGGGAAAAAAACAAACAAATGCTTGTTGTTGCTGGTACCAGCAAATATTTCGAAGTGCCAAATGGAAGACTGATGCCTGTACCTTGTCACTAATACAGAAGCTTTAGAAAGTTCTTAACTTCTCCAGTTCTTCACACCTGTTACTGAATTTGGAAGGAGTTCTGCTATAGTTATTATTCATGTTCAAAGAGTGGCACTCAAAGTACCACTAACTTGGTTTTTAAAAAAAAAAAACCACTGTACAGACTTCTGGAAGCTGAGAAAAAGTTGTTTGTGGTGTGTTTTTTTTTTTTTTTTTTTAACAAACTGATTTGTGTATCTTGAGATAATCCATATGAGGTGGATTATTCATCTGTAGTACTGAGAAGCTAATGTAGGGTTTGTTGTAAATATAGCTGGCCCTATGAAGGTAATGTGGTTGCACAGGTGTAAATGAAAGCTGAATTTGGCCCACAGAAACTCTACTGGTAAGTGAGACTTGATGCCTTAATATAAGCATGATAGGTTCCCTTTTAAAGAGATTAACTAAAGCTCCTTTATAGCTATCTTTTTACATTCTTCCATGTTCTGGTACAATAGCATTTTACAAGTGCTAAATTGAATGCATTAATGTTAAGCCTGGTTCCAAAGGTTAGCTTCCTTTAGGTAGGCACACTTAGTTGTTCCTGCTATGAACGGAATGGGCTGACATGTTTAAACAGTCAGAGTTAAGCTGAACTATTAAGGCTTCTGATCTTTCAGTATGAATATTTTTCTGGTTACTGGTATTTAAAAAAAAACAAAAACAAAAACAAAAAAAAACTTGACCTGATGACTGTCTCATTATTACAGGAAACGACGTTGGCAGAAGTTCTTACGGTGCCATGCAAGTGAAACAAGTTTTTGATTATGCCTACATTGTTCTTAGCCATGCAGTATCACCACTTGCAAGATCATATCCAAATAGAGATTCTGAGAGGTAATTAGTCCACTTTTTGAATATCCATTTGTCTATTTAATCAATTAGGAATGTTTGGATCTTATCAATAAAAAGATTATTGCTGTTTATTGTTTAATTGCAGCTGTGTTGAAATTTGCCCAGAGATTTAGGCTGGCCCAGTGCTATAAGAACATAATACCTTAGCGTGCAGCATTGAGATGGAGGCAGCCTGATGAAAACCAGGATGAGTCCAATGTAATATTCTCTTTAGTGTAGAAGGGAGCCAGATGATATACTGGTCTTTCCTCAAACGTCCTGCTTAAAATGCTTCAAAGGAAGGGCTGCTGGTCTTGTGCTTGGTATGTTATGTTTGTGTACTGTGGCAGAAAGAAATAAGGAGTGAACAAATAGTTTGTTTAGACTTAAAACCAGGCAAAGCAAGGCTAGAAATTTGCCTAGTCCTTTAAAGTGCTCCCATAAGCTTTTTAATATGCTTTATTTAATTTTAATTTAAGCTATTAGAAAAATCAGTTCATAACTTTAGAAATGCCATTGAAAAGTTATCATACTTCTAGATGTGCCATTTTTAATGCAGTTCTTAGCTGTCTGGTATTTCTGTGAAAGGCAGTAAGAAGTGCTTTTTAAACTCTTGCCTTTATAAACTTTTTCCTTTGAAAAAGGAGGAGAAAGAAAATAAAGGCCTATCACACTTTCATTCATACATCTGCTCTAGCATGTGCTATTCGCTTCTAATCCTCAGTACAAATTGGGGTTAGATCAGAGGATGTATCTTCCCTGGGACTTCCCTAGAATCCCAATGGTATTTTGAGCTCCCCAGCTAATTACAGGGAGGAGTGACTGTAGCAAGGTACATCTAGATACAATTCCAAACCTTATTAAAGCTGTTAACGTTCAGTATTAATGTAACTGAAAGGAAAAATAGTTCTGCTATAGTATGTTTACCCCAAAGTGCATCCAGTCTTTCACTTCTGGATTTAAAACTGACAGTACTTTAATAATGCCTTTGAGTCTCTAGGTTTTTGTAGTGTTAAATTCACAAAGGTTGTGATTGCACATTTGACCATGACTGATTGGAAGAGTGGCGTGTACGGAGTTCCACACTGACATCTGAGACCCTGCTGTTTTAAGATAACTTAAAGGTGTATCTGCAAAATTTGTACTGGCTGCATTTTTCTCATTTACAAAATGAAATTTGTACTTCATTCTTATGTAAGCAGGGATAGAACAACATAGGGATTCCTGAAGTCTTGCTTGTGTCTTGGATTTTGGCTTTCATTAATTTCTCTGTGATTGAGCTGTAAGGTTTCCAAAGAACATAGTTGTTCTCTTACGGGATGCCTGTATTTATACTACAGACATTAAAAAGTGTGTGTGTGTGTGTTCATAAAGGTATTTAATGCAAGCACAGATGCACAGCCCACATTTTGGGAAATCCTTTAATTTTGTCACAACTTTTTCAAACTTGGAGAGGTCCCAGCAGCAGTGTTCAGGTGTGGTAGGTCTGTGTTGTTTTTCCTCTAGTTCTGTGCCAGTGAAGACTCTGTTTCAGAACCAGCCATGTTTGTGACTTGCCATTGTGTTGGAGGGAATGGTATTATAAGCGGAGCAACATTGCACGCAGTCCTGTATGTGATTAGTCCCACCCAGCACCAGTCTTGTCAACAGCTAAGGACCTGCAGGTGGATGATGTGCTCTTTTGGACCACGTTTGTTGCAGAAGCTCAACAGCAGTCCGTTTTTGGTCTCAGATCTTAGTTAAACATGATGTGCTTGGACATTCCAGGTATATTTCGGATCCTTCTTCCACCTGTTGGAGTGGTCCAGGCTCCGTATGCAAACTTTTTCTGGTGGCCTGAACTAAAGCCTGAGCTGTCCAGGAGCCATTTGTCCTGATCCATTTTTCCTTTTCTAGTCTTGTAACTGATAGGTTAAATGGTAAGCAGTAGGCTCCCTTTAGGAGCAGTGACTTGCTTTAGCTGTCCGATATTCTACTGGAAGAGAGAATAAAACCCTTTCAGGTGGTCTTCACTTAGGTTAAGAACTTGCAAGAAGCCGAATTCCTCAGGCTGACTTGAGTTTTCCGGTTTTGTCATAATTCAGGCTAGCTTTCTCCTAAGTGTGAAGATTCATTCTTGGAGTGGCTGGTGGATTTGAGTTCATATCAACTCTTTTTCCAGAAAAAACTTCTCTACTGCTTGTATAGATATAATTAAGTCCTGTTTTGTAGATGACCATCACAGTAGCTTTCAAATCTTTCTTGATAGTCATAATTATTGAACTTCTCCAAGGTCAGTCCAACTCAAATGTGCACAAGCCTAAGGTAATATAAGGCTTTCTAGTTCCCTGCTTCTTCTGTTTCTGATAATCCCCAGGTCAAAAAAAAAAGGTTTTTTGGTCCTTTAGCCTAGACCTTACTCTTGTCCATATTCTGTATCAATAAGACCCACAGATTGAATATTGTGGACCAAATTCAAACAGATTTCTCCAGCATCTCCATTCAAGCTTCTAAATATAACCTTTGAAAGTGTAATGGGAGTTGAAAGCATCTTCTGTCTGACCTTCTCAGTATATATTGGCTCCGTACTTAACTGAGTGGAAACAGTACTGGGTTGAGTCCTGGAGGTAATAGCTCAAAGCTACCTGAATTACCTTAACACTGTTTTATACCTAGTTTACTTTGCCCATCGTCTTTCAAGAACGTCTCAGAAGAGAGAGATTGGTAGTTCAGAAGATTTTGTGGAAGCAAATGGATTCCCATCATCTTGGAAGGAGAGGTTTTCCTGGTAGGAAGATAAGAGGAGACTGGCAATTCATTTTCAACCTGTTACTACCCATACACGAGGTCAATTTTGGAATTGTGACTTTAGCCAAAGTGTTTGAAAATCACAGGATTTATTTCTTAGTATTTGAGGCCTCAGGGACTTAAGTCTGCCTGTAAAGTGCAATTATGGACACCTTCTGCTTAGGGTCAGTGTCAGGGTGTGCTTTGAACAACTTTATGGTCTTTGGCCGTAGCCTGTCACCAGAAGAGTGTCTGTGTCATCTTAAATTAGCTAGCTAAAGTAGTCTGTAAGGAGTATTCTCAAGTTACAGTGACTGTCTTTCCAATTGTATTCTATTTCTCTGCAATGAACTTGTTCACTGATTTATTTTCTTTGAGACTAGTCAACTACCTGCTGCAGAGGTCAACAGTGCAAATATATTAAGGTGCAATTTCACATTATTCCTTGTCTACCCTAACTATCTGTGGGCTGCTTCTAGGAGCCGCTTTCCTCCTCCTCAGTCCACCTATATTGGACTCTTGCCTTGGATCTGATCTAGTGATACTACAGTCAGAAGGTGAGTCAGATAAACTGTCTGATCTTTCTGAGAAAAAAATTAGCAACACACCTCTCTGGCTGTCGTGTCAGCAAGCTGATCCAACTTGTATTGTGGCTGTGTGATAGGCAGATCAGAAGAGAAGCAGTAGGAGTTTGCATCTGGGGAAAATGAAATGGTATCATACCATTTGACAGCTATAAGTTACGTTGTTTTGGGTACAGGTGCATCCTTGGCTTAATGAGTATGTAAGTAGCCCAGGATGTTGGCTTATTCAGCTCTGTCACATGGTTCAGGTGTGAATACACGCCCAGACTGCATCCCCGAACAGCCAGCACAACCGTGTTTGGGAGGGAGACAAGGTCCTATGAAACTAGGGATGGAAGCCTGGTTTTAGTGTGATGTGGCTTTTTCAATGTAACTTTGACTTCTAAAAACTTCCTTCAGTTCCTAGAATTCTAGATTGGTAACAGGTTCTTGATTACTAAAGCTAGATGATCACTTAAATGATCTGAGTGGGGAAGCCTCTGAGAGAGAGGCACAGTTAGGTCAACAGGCCAGAGTTGAGAGTTTGAGGAAGCCTTGGCTGGGCTTTGCTACTGCTTGTCTGGGATTGTAACTTACAGTTGATAGCTTTCAAAGCAGCAGTAGTCTTCACCATATGTAAAGTGATTTTCCTCTTCTGTTCTAGGAAGCTGTTTGGTCTGGTCTTGGTGCGCAGTTTACCTGTTCTAACTGCCAGCAGGTCTGTATGTTAGGTTCAGGTTGCCCATGGTTGGCCAAAATAGTGTTGGGAGCTCTGGGAGCTGTCAAAGGAAATGCAGAATTTACCTGCTAGCTCTGCTGACACGGGAAGCAGAAATATATGTTATCTGAAAGAGTCCTTCCTCTGATTCACATCTTGAATGCTGGATGGCTGTCTCTAGAATGCATGCTGTCCCTTGGGAGATAGCAGCAGTATCAACTTTCCTTACGCAAAAGAGTCTGTCTAGTTAAAAGTTCTAGATTTTTTTTTTCCTTACCCTCATACTCAAACAGATCCTTCTCGGGTGCTCCTTAGTCTGCTTTACACTATGTGATCTGTTAAACACCAAGGAGGTGCTTCATAATTTCAGCCAAGGTCTGCTTAACAATTACTTTTGACTGTTCTTTAATGGATTTAGTGTTATTCCCCTGCCTCCCCACTCCACTCTGGCACTCTTTCATATGGAGTTTGACTGGAGCTTTAGATATTTGATCTCAGTGAATCATATGTCAGCAATCTGATCCTTTTAAGGGTGATCTTAAGGTTTACTTGCATCTTAATTGTGCTGTAATGAGAGCAAGAAAGTGTCCCTGTGACCTGAGGGCTTGCAAATTAATTGGCATTAGTTTGACAGAAGAACTGTGTGGAGTGTAATACTGGAGCTTCTAAGCTTTTATCCTAAAAATAAACTAATAGGAGACTGGATTATACAAGTAGCTTATCCTTGTTTTTACTATATGATAATATCCAGTAGCTTATTCCTGTTTTTACTATATGATAATATCCAGAGAAAAATCTAAGTGTACTATCTAATTTTATTAACCAGTTAACTTGGTATTTTCCCCTTCTCTTACAATAATCTTTACAAGATTATTGGGAATGTCTCATATTTAGAAATCCTGGTCTTACCAAAAAAAGAAGCAGAAGCGTGGAATTCCCTAGTTACTAAACACTGGGCAGATTAATAGTTACTCTTTGTTCCTAAGCATTTTCCGAGCTGAAAACATTGAGATAAAAGCACAATTTTAAAATGTATATTTTGAGAAATGTTCTGACCCCGTGGATGTGCTTGAGTCCCATACATATGACATCAGATTCCTCAAGAGCAGTGCCCAGTTTGGTCACATTTGCTTCTCCTTTCCTCTGCCTTGCTGTATTAAGTATATGGCAGTGCAGACTTAATTACCTTTCAGTTTCTGATGTCTCATAGTGAATGTTTTCAACCTTGTTGTGTAAGTAGTAAGTCTTCCCTCCTCCCCTCCCCCCCCCCAAACAAAAAAGGAGAGTTTGGAGCTTTGATCTGTATGAAATGAGCTAGTAGGAGAAGATTCCCAGGCTCTGCATGTGCAACTCTGCCATAATTGCTGATGTAGCAGTAGTTCTGCCCCTTACACCTATGGATGGCAGGCTTTTTTGTTACACCAGTCTCCCAGGCAAATAAAAACGCTATCCTATGTTATTCATTTTCCTTCTAGTATGCGAAGACATGATGGGTATTGGTTACTTTTGGGAACGTACTCCAACAAGCTTCAGACTTGACAAACTATCTCCTGAACAACGAATGACAAGGTCTTCATTTTCTAGTTCGAAGACAACTGCTGATAATAGTTGTAAAATCTATGGGTCATCCTGGAGTAAAAGCTCAAATCTTTCTGAAGGCTTGCTTGGGTGAAACTTTCAGCTCCCAAGATTTGTTTTTGTCCCAGGGCTGCAGAGCCCAGCATTTTTATGTTTGAACTCCGTACTGGCAGTGCTGTCCTGGGAACTGTAGCTTCAGGGCTAGAGCTGATTCTCTGCAAAGTTCATCAATCTTATCTTCATTCTCTGTCTCTTCTGGCTTTAAACCAAAGAGTTTAACACTTCCTTTTTGAGTATTAAAAATGCTGTTACATCATGGGCTAGTGCACTGACAAAATGCTATCCTCTCTCTTATTCTGTTCCTTTCCTGATGCTCTATTTAGCTTTTGAGCTGTGCTTTTAAAATAATTGCTTACTATAACCCAGACCATTAGTTGCTGAATGGCAACAATCACTCCAAAGCCTTTAATTCTGCATGTGCAATTCAAGATTGTTTTCCAACATGCATCACTTCATCTATGTTATAATAAAATGATGGATGTCATTCATCCTCTCTATGAAGTCCTTCCGCAACCATTGGATTCGCAGTTTAAGCAGTAGATGATACCTTTTGATCTGGTGTGTGCTTAACATGCTGGGCAGCTTTTTTCAGTACTGACACACTGGCATGTCTTTAAAGTTGGAAGTCTAAACATGGAGTATGTGGTGTTTGATCTTGCAATGAAATAGTAATCCCTAACCTAGCAGGAGAATTACTGTTCCTTTTAAAAAGTGTTGTTATGAAATGACCTGATAAAGTTAGCTTAAATACATTTAGCCTACGGGTATCCTCCCTTTCCACTGTACATATAAAAACAAAAAATTTCCACTAAAGATATGTTATACCTTTATGATATGAAATAAAAAACAAGCTTATTGGAGCTATTGAAGATTTTTCAAAAGTAAAATCACACTTCCTTTCTCCTAAGATGGTAATTTTCCGTGGTCCCTTTTTTGTACAGTAGTCAGCCGTTCTTGAATCCTGAGCATTGAGTTAATAGTAAGGATTTCAACAAATAGCCCTTTAGGAAAGAAAAGACCAAAAGATAAACTCTCAAACATCTGCTCAGGGAGACCTGCAATGCAAATGGCTGAATGTTGGGAAGGTATGTTGGAAAACATCACTCTGCACTTATTGTATAGCAGTGGTCACTGTGCAACAGGATAAGGTGGGCTTTTTATCTGAACCAGTTACCCTTATGAGTCATCTTAAATTCTAACTTATTCCAGTTTTGGAGCCAGTCTGTTCCTTGTTTCCATTACCTCACGATCCATGGTACTTCCTTTATAACTGCAGGGTTCTTGAACCTTTTAACTTGTCTTGTAAATCTGTAAGCAAGGACCAGTGAAGGTGTCTCTTTGGCAGGAATATGAGTTGTGGGTCCAGGATATTAACTTTTTCAGTGCATCCTGTAGCTGTTCTAATTCAGATTTTGTGAAAAATATATTTTTGTATGGAGAAATGCAAGAACCTATAAAGTGTTCTTATCAAGTATACGAACATACGTATGTACGTTCTTGTTAGTTGAGATGTATTGTTTAGAAATACAGAATAAAAATGTTTTTACCTATGTGTCCGTGCTTGCATATTAGTATGGCAGAAGGTAAGTAGTACAGTGATTTTAAAACTGTAACTCTTCACTGGCCCAAATGTTGCTCTAAGGAAATGAAAGCTCAAAAAGATTCTTTGGTTGTGGCTAACTTGCACTGCTTTTAATGTAATTTGATTGTTTCTTGAAAATGTGTAACCAAATGGCTTTATTTAACAATTAAAATTTTTTTAGCACATTAGGTAGAATCATCAAAGTGACCCAAGAGGTGATTGACTACAGAGCTTGGATTAAAAAGCAGTGGGGGAACAAAATTAATTTATCTCCTGAACTTGGTAGGTATGGCAGAAATCTTTGAAATCAGTTTAAACCTTTTTTTCTTGCATTAGGTGCAATTAAAAATGTCCATGCCTTGAAATTAATCACTAGTTCAAGTGTTTGGGCAAAACTTAAAGCAGTTTTTGCCTTCTAAGCTAAGACTAGTTTTCTATGTTGAGCATGTTTTCCACTTTGTTAACTAGTTAAACTGAAGTTCTTTTTAGACTGCAAGATTCCTGTGTTGATGCTTTGTGCTCTTACAATGATATTCATGTCTTCTGTTGACAGACAACAGGTTGAAAATAAGAGACCAGATTGCTCCATGCAATGGAGAACAGCAGCAGAACAGAGACTCGGAACCACCTTACAACCAGCGCTTGGCTTTGTCATTGGCTAGCACACAGCAGTTATCCTCTGGGTCATCTGCCTCTTCTGTTTCATCACTCTCCGGCAGTGATATTGTAAGCTTTTTCTTTCAATGGGTTAAACTACTAAGAAGCAGATTTTACCATACCCATCAAAGCCTCATAACTGAAAGAGTAGCGCTTAATGTGATTATAGTCACTAAGCTGCTACAGCAAATTAAGAACTTATCCTGTTCAGAAGACTACCGAAATGAAAAATACTTTTTCATTAGATGAAATCTGTCTTAATTCCATCCTAAACCTTTGGTACCCTTAGTGGGGGTAGTTAAACGTGATAAAGTATAAACCTCCAAGTCAACTGTAACTAATAAAACTAATCAGAAGAGTAGAAGCATCTATTCAAAAATACTTTCTCTATTAGGCAAAATCTCCTGCTGTCGAATTCCACTCTTTTCCCACACCCCAAATTGAGCATGAACATCATAACTTGCTGTGAAGGCTAATAATACTCCTTGCTGTTTTCAGTCGAGCAATCAGTTCATGTTTTAATGCCTAGAGGCCCTCATATGTAAAGCCTTGCTGTCAGCTTCTGTTTTGAAAGTGCACATTGAATGTCATTAGACTACACTGTAAGCTCCTTGGAAGATAAGGCTCTAGTCTCTGTAGTCATGTTTTCAGGCACTTTAGATTTTGTAGAAGTTTTGTTTTGATGAGTATTTAAATCAACAGAGTTGAGCAGTGTGGATTCTAAAGCACACATTTACATTGCTTGGCATGACATGCTCATTGTAAATCTGTTGAAGCATTCTGTGCTATGTACAGATATTGACTGGAGCAAGATACAATATTCAGTTGAGGTACAATACTGAGCAGCAGTGGCTTATACCAAGAGATGTCTAAGTTGTTTCTTGACCGCTTTCAAAAGCGGGTCAAACATCGAATTAAAAGTTGGGGATTGTATTCAATATAAATGAAATAACCACAGACAAATATTGGAGGGACAAATGCATTCACTATATACCTTCTGCTTACTTTCTGTAGTTCCTTAACACTACTGAATGTTCTGTGTTGAATTTTCCTCTCAATCCACCTCCAGTAAAGATGGTATGTGCTTTAGTTACACCCATCTGGCTAGTTAAAAAAAAAAAAAAAAACATGGTGCTTGCCAGTGATGCTACTAGCCGTGCTCCTGTTCCAGTATGTCAGTGAGGTGGGTATTACTATAAGATGGAGTTTTATGAGAAAACGCAAATGGTTACTTAACATCATGCACTCCCAACCTAATGGGTAATGTGTAATTGTGACCTCCCCTTAGACCCTTTTTGCTTGGCACAGCAAGGTGAAGTTTCATGATCTGATCTTTGCCTGACACCTAATGTAAGAAATTAATAAATGAAAAGTGCAAAGGAACTTCTCAACAAGGAAGACTGAGGTCAGTTTTGGTATCCACAAAGTAAATGGAAGTGCTACCCTGTAGAGCAAAATAAAAAGCCTTATGTCCCTATGCTTGTGACAGTCTAAGTCCCGGTCATTCCTTGGTACAGTTCTTAACAGACTGGCAGCATGTTATCTTAATTTGCAATGGAATGGCAGGTTTCTGACAAGTTACTGATGAGTCCATCTTATTGGCACTTGCATATGTGAATCTGAATAATCTCCAGCTGAACAGTCATGAGCTGTGCCTGACTGAGGAAGAGAGAAACCTATTCTGCTGGAGATGAGGAGGCTATCCACGACATGATCTGGGATAATACTATGTCCAGGGAGCTTGTATCGTGTGTGATAGTTGATATTTGTACCAAGACTTCTGGTGATAAATATTGTGTTAGCGTCTTTCTTGCAAACAGTTTTGCAGTGAATTTCAGTTCCCAGTTTCAGAACAAGGGAATGCCGTGCAACTCATCAGTGTAGAGGTGAATGTGGTGTTAGCTCTGAGCCTGTGGAAGGATTATTCTTCAAGGATGAATCTATGTTCATCTGAAGGGTAAATCTTCTGAATTCTTTGATATTAAAGATTGAAAGGAAGATACAGATCATAAAAGTGGGAGACAGTGAAAGAAGATTCTAGATTGACAGTTTGATCCTTTACCAGTATGAAGTTTTTTTTAATAGGAAAAAAAACCCCAACCCCATCATCTGTGATGTCAGCGTAATTACTCCAGGCACAAATCTGCATCAAAGCACTATTTCTGGAGTTACATTCTGCATGAATGTAGAATAACTATTCCTCTATGTCAACTACGAGATACTCCCTGTCATATCAGAGGGACTTTATAGGGTGTTTGCTTTTCTAGTCAGTGACAAAGTTTGACTGATAATGGAGTGATCAGCTGCACCTTAACCTTAGCAGGACCTGTCTGCCAATATAACAGAAATCAACTTCTTGGAATGTATGCTGAGGGAGATAGGCTTGGCTGCTTGTGGCTTTACTTGGCCAGATTGCCTCTCTCAACTTGAGCGTCTCATGAAAGTCGAATATTCCAGCCATCTGCTCTAGCACAGAGGTATCTATATTCTGATATCACTATGCACTGGCAACAAATCTGGAAGCTCTTGCATATACTGATCAGTGTGTCCTGGATGAGATGTTGGCAATTAATTATCCAAGCACTATCAAAACAGGGAGTCTTACTCATAGAAATCCTAGAGTCTTTAGTAAAACCTGCAGTTCATGAAGTCTAGAGCTATTGGTTGTGATACAGTATGCTGTCCGTTTCTTTTTAAGGGTTTGCTTCCTTGAAGTTCATTTAGCATTACAGATTTTGCCTTATAGTCAATGAATGTGATTCGACAACTGAATAGACAAGGCTCTCAATATCTTGGATTTATGAGCAATTCTGAGATAGTAGTGGTTATAGATCTGTTCCGGGAACAGAAGAATGGATGTCAGAATAGTCCAAAAGAGAGCAGGTTTTTCTGGAGGCTGGATTGGCATAAACCAGAGCTAAGCATTTAGAAATCAGTTTCTCAACTTCTGTATGTATGCGTACTTGGAAAAATAAAATATAGGGATATAACAGCTTCCAGTTAACTACCTTGATTTTTTTTTTTCTTTTTAACTTTGTTCCTAATACTGCTTTCCATCCTTCAGGAGCCTACTCGTGGTAACCTTTCTAAGACGTGGTCTTGTGCACCACTGAGGAACAAGAGAACTGCTTCCTTCAAGGATAGCATTCCCTTTCCCCTCACTTATTCTAGATGTACTGCTCCTCAGTACTTGCCTCAGATTTAGGTGAATGACTGCTTCCATCTCTGCAGGTCCAGAACTAGTTTACAGGAGGACATACTTCTGGGCCACTGTCTACACAGCCCAAAGCAAAGAACAATGTCTAATGAGACTAAATCATAATTTGTACAAAAGGTATTATGGATTTTCCAAGGCAGAAAAGCTATTTACAAAAAGCCTTATGGTAGCACTGGCCGAAGATAACTGTTGTGCTGTTTTTCATGATAGATGTCCTATCAAACTGCAAAATCTGTCACAGAAGTTTTTTGTAAGGTCCAGTGAATTTCAGGGCAAAGACTCCTTAGTAGAATAATCTGTTTTCTGACATCTGTCACATCATTAGTGTGATAACAGCTGCTCAGTTTATGGATTTGTCTTACTAATTTGTGCACATAGCTACAGAGCTCTCGCTCTCTGTGATGCTTTTAATCTACTTCCTTGCAGAATACTGCGTACTAAAGTTCCCATCTTGTTAACTCAGCTTCATGAACTATATTTGCATCACCAGCGTAAGTATTAGCGATAGACTCATCCGGAGCAAACTGAGGAACACGCTTGGAATGAACTTAGGGATACAAGGAATCTGATTACCAGAACATACTTGACTACACATAAATTTTATACACTGTAACTACCAAACTGATCTATGCAGTAGGTCTTCTCTCAGTGCAGTGTTAAACACCTGCTGTGCAGGTATTTAAAATGCCATATGCTGCCCTAACAGAAAGGCAGCACGTGTTCTTCACTCGCTCATGCCCACAGGTAAGTAACCAAGCAGGCTACTGGTTCACTTTGAAAAGTACTCCACGTTATCACAGTTGTTAGTGATCCAACAAATACTGGAGTGGATAATGTTGCTGGTTGTACATAGTTCGTCCTTTGGGGAAGATGCTTGATTAATACCTTTACTATCAAGGACAGTGCAAAATATGTGAGATTTTTGCTCATCAGGAGCAGGAGTTTAACTATTCCCTTATGGAGCATAAACCTCTGTCATTAAGAAACCTCATTTTAACCTTCTTACTGAGTTTAGTGATTGCTATGGGAATCTGAAACCGGATGAAGTGAGCTATGTTCACCCTCAGCTCTCCTTTGTGGCTAGTTGCAGATGTCAGTTTGAGAACCTAAGCAAAGACCAAATCCCTCCTAGGATTGTGTGTGGTTTTTTTGTTTTGTTCCCCCCCTCCCCGGGTGTTTTTTCGTCCATGACCTGCACTGTACAACTGGTGACCTGGATTTCTGGCTGCTTAAGCAGTGTGGAGGACTACTTTTTATTAGCTCAGGAAATCCTAGAGCAGTGCCAGAGAAGCAAGTGCAAACAATCTCTGCCAAGTAAAAACAATTATGGATGTGTTCTCTGAGCTAGTCTTGTTTTGATCTGGTCTAATTCCTGGTGCTAAGCATGCTCTGCAGTTTTGCTGCTTTTGTGCCAAATAAAGCTTAGCATTTTACCTGACAGTGGTAGCTTTATATCAGTTACTAATGCAATTCCTCATAAGAAAGTTTTAAAGCTTCTTTGAGATCTATGCATACATAATCTCAGAGATCCAGTCCAGCAGAGAACCTCAAAGTTGTCTGTTAGAAATTCGAGTCTAAGAAATTTCATATACTTGGCCTCAAACTGTTTCTGGTGATTTCTTTGCTAGATGCCTATGGCAGAATTGTTTCATGAAGAATTTTGAATTCTCTAGACCATACAGTCATGTCAAAGTAGTTGAAGTTCCAGTGAATAAGGGACTTACTGCTTGAATAGATTTAGTTTGGGGAAGAACACAGAAAAGAAACCTTCCCTCTATCTGACTTTCTTAACACTTACACAGTGCATTCTTCTAGATTGTTCTTAGTTTTTAGCTGTAGCTATTGCTGTTTA